CCATCGTAGCTTCAAGGGACGGTCAACCTACCGAGAGAGGAGACAATTGAAACTAGCTTTGATGTTGTGATACGGCGTGGTGTTTGGTGTAAAGTGTAGCTCTTCAGGTGCTGCTCATGGCTGATTGAGGAGAACTCGGAATGCCGGGTTTCCTTCAGGCCTTGCTTGGGGTTCTCACAGACTGCATCAGGTGACTGATCCCAGAACATGGCCAGAAATACGAGAGGTTGTATCAGACGGAGATAACCTCATGGCTTTCTCTCATGTTCAACTCCGATAGCTGGGTGGTTTCTGCGGGTTCTTTGTTGGTGTGTACTCGGTCAAGTCTGAAAACTCTGCTTGTCAAAGTCCCCTAGAAAATTCGAGAGTCCAAAATGCCATTAATTCACTGCGTCCCTGGCTTTGGGCTTTGTTGCATTTCGAAACTCGTGGCCACTCACACGATAGCTTCATGTGCGCGTGTGGGGCCGCACTGTACCCCTTTTGGTATCGCAGCCTAAATCAGGGCGGCTTTTGGTGGCAGAACAGTGCGAACGCAAGTTTAGGCTACGGCTGATTGTGCTGTGAGCGGTCAACGTGAGAAAACTATAAAGGGCACCCTCTTTCTGCCTCTTCTCTCGATCTTCTTCCTATCCTCCATCACACGCAACGTTCTTCAGGCCTCAAGCTCGCTCTCAACAAAGCCTTCTTTCTTCCAGACCATCAACAAAACTCACTTCACTGTAAGTCATCAAGTGTTCTTGACAATCTATCCCTTCTTTGTTCATCAGGTTGGTCTCCCCCTGTTTGATCCTGACTTCTTCCTCCTTCCAGCACCTCTCATCCATCAAAGATGTCTTCCATCATCAAGATGACTGTCTTTGCCACCTCCATTGCCTCGATGGCTCATGAGGATAAGATCAGTAAGTCTCTTCACTCCACCTCAGCTTGCCAGTCTCTAATACCTCCAAGACTTCCATGGTCTTGAACTCACCACCATTGGTGGCGGAACTCAGGTTGCCACTGGCCCCATCGCTGTTGATGGTAAGTTGCCCTCCTCCACCATCTTCGCAATCTTCATCTCTAACAATCTCTCCAAAACAGCTCTCTACTCCAGTGTCTGCGTTCCGATCATCCTAACCACCCTTTCCTGCGAGACCATCACTCTTCCAACCATCACCACCGAGGAGATCATCGTCTATACTCCCGTCACTGAGGTCACTCCCATCGAAGAGGTCATCACTTCCACCGAGGTGATCACCACTTCTGAGGAGACCCCCTCGATCGTGGTTGTTCCTACCACCGCCATCCCAACCGAGGATGTCGTCCAGAGCGGCGTTTCTGCCACTCACATCTCTCTCGGCTGCCTCTTCGTGGCCGGTCTCATCTTCTCAACCCTCTTCTGATCGACTGATGAGATCTTCATCCTCGCTTTCACATGGCTTGTGGATCCCTTGGGTGGAAATAACGGGTTGGATCGGTCTGAGTTGGGACCTTGGCAAGGCTCATGGATGCTTGATGGCTTTTTTGTCATCTTGACACTTGTACAATAGGTTCTTTCCCCTAGTTCTTCTTGCGAGAAGTACTTGTCTGGACGGGAAACGAAGGAATTGAGCAGAATTGCCTCCCATGACTTGCTATTTTGTGCGCCTCGTGACGCGACCGATCTCGGGGCTTGATGTAGTGTTGCCCTGACTTGGCTTGACGTGAGCTCACTGGGGGACGGTGGATCACTTGAAAGAATCGCTATGATGTCGGACCAGAGAACTCTATACGGCTTGAAGTGACTTGATGGGCACCTTTCCGTCATTGTATTTGCTTGTTGCGTCAAGGTCATGAGGGTTTGGTTGAAATCTTGGCATCTGAAACAAGATCTGATGAGGTAAAGACCTGGTCGTTCCTGCTGCGGTGCAGTCTGATATACGCCTTCTGACGCCACAACAAGCACTCAGGAAGCCTCGGATGACGAAGACTCTTCGTCAGCTAGATCTTCATGGCCAGCTCTGGTCATGAACAAGCTGGGGTTAGCTAGATGCGTAATCATGTGCTTGTGTTCTTGAGATCACGGGATTATTCCGGAAACTTGAGGCACACTGAGACGACATCACGAGTCTAAAACTCAAGCTTCAAACCTTAGTCGAGCAAAGCACTTGTTATTTTCCACATCGTTTGAAAAATTAACTTTTAACTCCAAAGAAAAAGCCAGAAGATACTGGCCGAGCAGGGCCTGGTATTCTTCAAAGCCCAGCTGTCACCACGACGCGACAACAGATTGCGCAAAGAAAATTCCGACAAGCAGGGGTATCACAATCTCAACCTATTGCTCCGACCAGCATCCGATCCCCATGAACCCTTGCCATGTCCGAGACAGCCGAGAACTCTAAAAGAGCTTAAACCGAAAGCCTTCCAGTACCAGCCAGCTGACGATTGCTTCCTGCGTCAACCATACACAAAAGGAATAAAGAAACGAGGCTAGATAGCTGATGACTCTCAGAGTATTCCAGCAACCACAGCCATGACGGCTCCATAGACGCCTACGCAAAGGATACAATCCTGAGTGCCGCCCAATCCAACAAGCCCGTTGGCCCCCATTCGCAAAACACCGGCCTGTAGCAGAGCGGCCAACAGGCCGCCAGCAACAATCGTGACGACGGCCATGCGTCCAATGTAGCCCGGTATCACAATAAAACACAAAGTAGGCAGCAGGAACGCGGCAGATATAGCGATAAGGATCTGTGGCATTGAGGAAGCTGGGGTTCGATGACTTCCATCATGAGCATAAGCGACTCTGGTGGAACGACAACTGTCCAGGTCAGACAACGGACTGTTTGGCGTCAGTGGGAAGACCATAGTCCGGGGCATAGGAGTTTTGAGGTCATCCGATAAGAACTCGGGTGCCTGATAAGTACTATGAGGCCTGGCGAGCGACACGAGGTCATCTTCCGGATCGAGAAACCTGGCTTCCGGTTCAACTATAGGTTGGCGATTGTTGAGATAGTCGCGATATCGGTCTATGTCCACAGGGGCAGGAGCGCTGAGGTTTTGGGATTCCTTGAACGAGACGAGGGTCTTATCTGTTCCGGTTAGATGCCGTCAATGAAATAGCTTGGCTCAGGACCTACTATAAAGTTCGAGCTTGAACCCAATCTTGCCGAGGAGGTCCATCTTCCACCAGTGAAGATCTTTTGACGAGGTAGATTCCTGGCGCCTTGATGCGGGGAGCACGCCCTGATGATATTGACGAGATTGTGTATCGGCAGCATCCAAATGACGTAGTTGCTCCTCGAGCTCAGCAAGCTCATCCTGCAAGTGCAGCAAGAGCCTATGGTTCAAAAACTCGAACCGTCGATACATGGGCTTGATCAAAGGCCCACCCATACTATTTGACGACAAGTTCGTGGCTAATAGCTCGTAACCACTCATAGGCATGTGCTCAGGTCGCCCGTGCTGCATGAAATCGAATGAAGAGGGTAGATACTGTGGTTGTGACTGCATGCCGTTAGGAGGGCCATCGTGGATCTGATTAGAATGTGCCGGGGGCATCATCGGGCCAGCATCCCACATGGACGGTTGCTGATGACGTTGATGATAACTTGAGGCTGCTGAAGTCCCGCCCGCTGGCACCATCATAGGCTTGGGCCAATCCTCGTTGACGCTTCGGTCCGGGCTGCTGTGAGTCCCGTCGGTCTCATGGCCGCGGCCTGGCTCGGAAAACACGTCGCTATGGATGCTCGGCGCACCAGATGAAGTGGTGCTCCTTGTCGGTGAAGCACGACTTGGGAAATCCGCCAACTGCCACGATGGCATATCTCCATGCGTTGGTTGGACTGGCTGCCTTGTACCAAGAGGTGAGCCAGGGTGGAGGAAGCTCATGACATCGGGCCGCTGATGGATTTCGGGGGGATGGCTGGCTTGCTTGTCGCGAGGACGGATCTTCTGCTTGTACGTATCGCGATCTCTGTCACTGTTGCGGCGATTGCTGGCCGGTATTTGGGTGACAGTAGAGGCGCTGCCGCTGGAGCTCCCGGAGCCGCTCGTTTTGGCTGTGAAGGCTGTGAGAGTAGACGTGGAAGGAGAAGGGGGTCTTGGAGCTGGAGCATGTAGTTTGGCGTCTTGAGCAGGCTTATTTGATGTTGACATGGACGAAGAGAGCGAATGGTCCGGCGATCTGATACGAGAGGAAGCAGGGTCTGCGGCGCCGGAACAGAAGCAGTCCTGCATACTGGGCGGTCCGCGACCGACGTCGTGAGCCTGAGCCACGAGTGTGCATTCGACGTCTGGAGTTCAGCGACTGGGTCTTGAGGCTGGTGTCACTAGTAGACGCCGAGGCGGAAGGGGTTCAATGACACCAGCGGACTGTCATCATGTGGTCAGTGTCTGACTGCTGAGATTGGCGTCCGGGGCAGCTCCACAAATGCTGAGTATTGGGGTGATATCTCGACTCAATATACGGACATGAGTTGAAGGGTTTGTGCATTACTTGATGGATGGATCGGATGACACTTCTCGAGAGTGAACTCGACGCGGGCTGCTTTCAAAAACGTTGATGGTGCAAGAACTCGATACGGATCATGCGGGTCGTCCTCAACGAAGAATCTATTGAGGAGACAGAGGGAGGGCAGAATACACAGATTGGAATACAAAGGTAGAGCCAGGGCTAGGTTGTTTGATGTGATGATGCGGAATTCGAGTGATGATACAGATAGGCGACAAAAGTCGAAGAAGGTTGAATCAGCGCTTCATGACAGCAGCCTGGGAACCTATCTCGTGGGTAATCACGTCAGATAGAAACAGATCTGAAGAACAAGAGGAATGAAAGACTGAGGGGTGATCTTGCGAATGGAGGGGGGGAACAAGCAACGCATTAAAAGCCATCTGCGGTCAGCCGCGCCATTGCTCCTCGCGTCGAGTGCGTCCTGCCTTGCGTACCCCTTTGCACCTTCTCGTTTACGCACTACCCTTCCTGGTACATCCTGATAGGTAAGGAATGCTACCTTTTTAGGTACCGGTACGCAAGGAGGGCGCCCCTGGAGCAGATGTTTCAGAAGACAGCAGGAGGCGTTGGTGTCAGGAGGACAACACAAGGGGGCCAACAAGGGGGGCGGAAGTCAGGGGCCATTTCCAGCTGCCGGGCCTCTATGACTGGGTGCTCGCGACGAACAAGGCGAGCTTAGAACACGCAGCAGTCGCACTGAGCACCATGGGGCGTTTGGTCTGATCCAATACAGCGTCATGGTGCAGCTTGGGTGGGTCCGGGGGATCTTAGGCGCCATAGTGCTATTTCTGTGGGCTTATGTCAGCCCAACTTCCACCAGCTGCCGTCGCGTTGGCCCTCGGATGCTCCCGCGTTCCTTCAACAGAGCCTTCTAGCTCAACGAACAATCTCGAGCTACCTCAACCTGGCTCTGGGAGGCTCAACCTTAGCTTCATTTCACCATATAAAGACGAGCCCGAGCCCCGTGAACCCCTTTCAACCGTCGAGTCGAAGGCCTAGCACCCCACTCAGGGCGGCCTCAGGTGTAGCTTCCGCCCAATCCCGACGACCCGTCCGACCGAATCTGCAACCCGAAGCAGCACTTCCGACGACCACCCAATCATTACCACTGCGATCCGGGGCCAATGCTGTGAGGCCACATACAACCCACGCTGAGTGTGTGTCACATACCTGCTTGACGTTTTGCTCGTCTCCTGCTGTCCACTTGGCGTCCGAGACATCGAGATCCGTGTGGTGTACGCCCTGCCTTATCGAGTGACATTGTCGCCCAAGCTGCTCAGGGCAAACCCCCCCCACCATGTCGCGTATACCAACGCGTGAACTCGGGCGATACCTGCTCCAAGGCCAGATATGCCAGAGAGGCTGCGTGGCGTCCTCGGTGTCCAAAAGCAGAGCCAAGCAACTGGGTCGCCATCCTCTACTGCCACATGACCGACACCAGCCAACGCAGGCCAGACACGCACACACTGTAACAACCACGGCTACGCCCACCCAGCTCGCACCATCTGTTCCGTTGCGGAAGAAGCTCAAAGACGAAGCGAAACAATTGAAGAAGAATGCCAAGAAAGACAACCGGAAGGGCTCCAATCAGACGGTTGATGGCTGGGAGCTGACTGTCGGCATTGAAATTCATGCGCAACTTAACACGGCTCGGAAACTCTTTTCGCCAGCCGCCACCTCCTTCAATGACGCCCCGAACTCGCACGTCGCACTTTTTGATCTGTCGATGCCTGGCAGCCAGCCCCTCTTACAGAAGGAGACTCTGATCCCAGCGTTACGGGCTGCCCTCGCGCTGAACTGCGACATACAGCCTATCAGTCGGTTCGACAGGAAACACTACTTCTGGTGGGATCAGCCGTCTGGCTACCAGATTACACAATACTACGAGCCCTTCGCCAGAAATGGACAGATCACGCTCTTCGCCCGCGATGGCATCGCCCCTGAAGATGGAGAGAGCGTCACGATCGGTATCCAGCAGGTCCAGATGGAGCAAGACACCGCCAAGACTCTGGCGCAACCTGGTGACACACATTGGCTCGATTTCAACCGTGTAGGAGTGCCCTTGATTGAAATTATAACGAAGCCGGAGCTTCATCACCCTCGCACAGCCGCCGTTTTCGTTCGCAAGATGCAAACTCTGCTCAACGCCGTTGATGCCTGTGTGTCCGGTATGGAGACGGGTGGCCTGCGAGCTGACGTCAATGTTTCTGTCAGGAGAACAAGCGACGCATCTGCGCCACTTGGAACCCGCACTGAAATCAAAAACTTGAGCACCATCAAGGCTGTTGAGGACGCCATCATCGCCGAGCGAGATCGTCAGATCCAGGAGCTTGAGGCTGGCGGGACCATCGCAGGCGAGACACGGGGCTGGACCCTGGGAACGAAGCAAACCCGCCGGTTGCGCGGCAAGGAGGGCGAGGTGGACTATCGCTACATGCCGGATCCAGACCTGGGCCCTCTGATAATTGCAGATGATCTGGTTGATCACATCAGAAAGTCAGTTGCTTATTTGCCGGATCATGAGCTATCCGAACTCGCCGACGTTTACGGCCTCACGGCGAAGGATGCACTTTCCCTCCTATCTCTCGATAATGGCGGCCGGATCGAGTACTTTTATAATGTCGTCGAAAGTTTCGGAACTCGGTTGCAGCAGGGCACAGAGGGTGGACTAGATGTCAGAGCGTATGCTCCTCTGGCAGCCAACTGGATCCTCCACGAATTTGGGCGTCTTGTGGACGATGATTCCGACAATGAAAGCACGCCATTCGAGGTCAGTCCTGACGGACAATGTGAACGCGTTCCAGTGGAGTCTCTCGCAGAACTTCTCTTCCACCTGCAACAGAAGAAGATCACCGGCAAGGTTGCCAAAGAACTTCTCACGGCATTGCATCAAGGGAATCTCGCCGATGCAGAGAACATCACCGCCGCCATCGATGCTCATGACCTGTGGTTCCATGAGCTCTCAACCGAAGAGTATCAAGAGCTGGCCGCATTGGCGGTCGAAGGAGAGGATAAGGTCTTGCGCGAATTCAGAGACAAGAAGGTCTTCCCGCAGGGTAAGCTGATGTATCTCGTGGGCAAGATGCTTCGCCTAGGGGCCACCGAAAGGATCGATCCGTCAAACGCGGAGAAATTCATGCGGGCTAAAGTCGAGGAACTTCTTTGAACTTGTTTAGAAGGAAGAAAGTTCACTGTGAGATGACGCCTGACTCAACTACCTATGTAATCGCATTTCCATGTACAGTCTGTACCTAATAGTCAACCGAACGCCTGTGTTTCCCCCAGACCCTGATCCATGTATACAAAGTGCTTTAATCGTGACACTCCTTCCTGGGCGTAATGGCCCCATGGTTCGCAGCCGCTACGTCAAATGCCCAGCCGTCACGCTCCCGCAGGAACTTTTCGATCCTCCTCTCCCTCCCCTTTGCCCG